TAAAAAACCCTGATTAAAATAAAGGATAACAGGTGAATTCAAGATATCTGTGGAAGTTTTATGTCATAGGCTACTTTGTAACATTAGAAAATGCATGAAAAGGGTTTAATTCTTTGGACTATCATTAGAATTTATATTTTTTATATTTTATACATGTTTTATACATCTTTAATAGGAATAGCCCACAGAAATGTTATTAAAGTGCTTTTTATATACATATATGCATGTATTGATATAGAGGAACCATATTATAACGAGAAAAGTTAAATCCTGTACTCAGTATGAACTCAGTCTGTTAGTTCATTCAGAGGTGAGAAAGTCTGGGAGAACAGCCAAGAAGATGCACATATCATTTTTAACAAGACAGGCACCTGCATCATCAAAGATCTGTAAAGTTTAAATGTGGCCAATAACATCTTGTTTGTCAAATGTAAGATTAATGAATGTTGCAAACAAAGAAAATCAAACTGAACATTTGTCAATGATGTCAGTGGTGGTGTAAAATTGGGAGGAGCAACAAAGGTATATAAGTCAGATCCCTGCTGTTACTCACTGGACGTCTGGGCTGAAGTTTTGGTTGTATGATGTCCCATTTATTTGAATACATTTTACCCTCCTTGCTGCCTGGACTGTATCTCACTGTGTGACTTCAATTGGCCAGCCACACAAGTCAAAGAACCGCAGTCCCCTGCGGCTGTTGGCATCATAACCATAAAACCCCTCCTTTTGGAACAATTGGAGGAAAGTCTGATGTAAAAGCTCTGTGTAGGAACTTAAGGTTGCAAATCCTGGCTTGGGAACTTCCTGGAGATTTGGGAGCAGTACCTGGGGATGGCATGGGTGTGTGGGAGGGTACTTAGTGGAGGTGTGGTGCCACAGTATTCACCCTTCAAAGCTGCCAGTTCCTCCCAGTTCCTCTTTGCAATCTGGTGATTACTTGTAATTCCTGGAGAACTCCATCCTGCCCCACAACGGGAGGTTGACTACAGCAAAGTTACACATTGAAGCTGAGGAAGCAGACATGAGGTGGAGGGGGTCTCTGCCCCAAAGCATTTGATCCCCCCCATGAGCTGTGTGGCTCCAGTTGCTTTAGCTGAGAAAGCTTATGTGGGGCCCCAGTCACACAGGCCGAAAAATGCGGCGGGGAAGCGTGGCTGTTTGCCCTGGAGCAAAATAATGTGCGGCTGCCCGATCACACGTCCTGTCGAGGTCCCGTAGTTAGGGCGTGAGGTGCCGATCACACGGCTATCCTGCAGCGAGGCAAAGAAGCGGCGCGGCGTGATCACACCAGCAATCGCTAGGCGCCGCTTCCTAGGCAAACAGGAATATTTTTTTCAACAAAAGGTGAGCATGCGCATGATCGTTTGTGCGCATCCTGTGAAGACTTTTAAAAAAATTAACCGGTTTGCGATGGGACTAGGACGGGATGCGAACAGACGCCCGCCCTTTCCCCATGTTTTCTGGAAACTAGTGCATTGTAAGTACTAGTTTTTTACTCCATATCTTCAGCACAAAGCCATGGGTTAGCCATGGGTGCACTACACTTCCCAGATGTTGCGGTGTGATCGCGCCCGGAAAATCCGCCTCTCATCTGTATCTTTAGCCCGGCAAATGCTCCGTGTGAACGGGGCATAAGAAATATCTTGAGACCCACGGAGGGCCAGAGCTAATTTGTAGCCACACCTTTGCCTCAGACATGGGTATTCAGTACTAGCAGGACAACAGCCCTGAAGTCATTAAGAACATCAGAAGAGCCCTGCTGGATCAGACCAGTGGTCCATGTAGTCCAGCATCCTGTCTCACAGAGTGGCCAACCAGTTACTCTGGAGGGCCAACAACAGGGCATACAAGCCAGGGCTTTCATAAGAACATAAGAAGAGCTCTACAGGATCATACCAGTGGTCCACCTAGTCCAGCATATTGTCTCACACAGTGGCCAACCAGTTCCTCTGGAGGGCTAACAACAGGACAGAGAGGCCAAGGCCTTCCCCTGAGAAGAACATCAGAAGAGCCCTTGCTGGATCAGACCAGTGGTCCATGTAGTCCACCATCCTGTCTCACACAGTGGCCAACCAGTTCCTTCCCCTGATGTTGCCTCCTTGTTACCCCAACCAGCTTAATTTAAGAATCTGAATTGCTGCTTTCAGTCTCTAGGGGAATTTAGTTAAATGGCAGGCCTCAGCGAGAGGTGGGGCATTTAGCGAGGATCTACTACCTATGTCTATGGGGATCTTTCCCTTTAAGAGAGCTCTCAATAACCAGTCCAAGGATAAAATAGAGAATGTTTTATTGAATGGAAAATGAGGAAACCAATGTACAAGAAGCACCCAGAAAGCATACACACATACAAAGTCTGAGAAACAAAGGAAGGAGCAGGAGAATAGCAGGGAGTGAGGCGATAGCTACCTCTCCCGAAGACGTCAAGGAGTCCGCAGAGAGGGAGAGATGGCAAAATGACCAGCGCTTCAGGGAGAGGAAGGACCCAATATATTGTGTGTGTGTGGGGTGTCAGTAGGTGCCCAAGGCAACACGAACACAGCAATGGGGCTGCGCTGGGCTACTTATACCCAAAATGGGTTCGGAGGGCTTGCTACTGTGAGGGCCCCTCAGAACAAAACATTGATGAGATCAATCAAGGGCAAAACAATGTAGTTTAGAAACACTGTATAGAGTTCCCAGGAATGGACAAAAGAGATTGTAGGTTTTCTTCTAGAATGCAAAGTAAAACTTGAGTTGGGTTCCTGATTGCTTCCTTCAGTGGTTCAAAGAACTAATGGATTGCTAATTTAACCTAATCAGACTGGAAACAATAGTACTTGATGAACCACCTGGGTTTGGGGTTTGGAAAAGGAGTAGAAGTCAGGAGTTTCTATTTTAAAGAAAACGTGGGGAGAAAGGATGAGGTGGGATTGAGAGAATTAGCGATTGAGGCTGAAAAGAAGTAGCTTTGGGGTGAAGCAAGTCCATTGTCCGGAGTATGCATGTGTTTGGCACTGGCACAGGTTATAACCTCGGATAGGGGAACTGAATTTCTTTATAAACTAATGCAAAAGCTTTATGAGATCACTGGCATAAGTAAAAAATTGAGCACTCCTTATCATCCGCAATCCCATGGACAGAGTGAGCATTGGGGTGGAACCTTGGTACGGATGATAAAGGCTTTTTGCCATGAGCACCAAGGGGACTGGGAGCAAGTCCTCAGTATGTTGGTCAGTGCCTTTAGGGAAGCGCCACACTGTTCCCTTGGGGGATTATCCCCCAATGAAGTAGTTTTCGGAAGAAAACTGCCAGGTGTTTTGAGCCTGTTGAGGAGAAATTGGGAGGGAGTGACTACATTGGAGGTTCCCATACCTGTGACTCAATTCTTTGCTAATTTGCAAGATAACTTAAAGAGAAAGCACTAGCTGAGGCACGGGGTAAACAGAAGATGTATTTTAATAGGACAACCAGATCTCGAACCCTACAAAAGGGAGATTTGGCCTTAGTGCAAAATCCAGGAACTGTAGGAAAGTTAGATCTACATTGGCATCTACAGAAATGAACTCCAAGGTCCTCAGGACCAAACAATTTGCCAGTGTTGTCCACTCACCTGGTTTGTGGAGGTCCTCTTGAAGCTACTCACAGTCAGCCTTAGTTTTCACCATCCTGAATAATTTTGTGTCATCTGCAAACTTGGCCACTATACTGCTCATCCCTAGTTCCAGATTGTTTATGTTAACACTCAACACCTGTGGTTTTCGTTGCTTTGTCCTTCGCATAGGTTACACTGTTTTTGGTTTTTGCATTGTTCTTTGATTCTGTGATCCATTTTTTATTTACCACTGGTTGTATTTTGTAACCCTGTTCTTATTGCATGGTTTCAATTGTGTAATCTGCCTTGAGTGTCAGCAAAAAAAAGGCAGGCTATAGATGAAATAAATAAGTGCATAAACAAGATGGGGCCTCTGACCATGAGCAGAGCACTTCACTTATGAATAACAGCAATGTCCCCACACATACACTTCTGAAGGCCTGATGTCCGAGAGGGTTCAACTCCAGACTCTTCTAACTGGGAGACAGATGATCCTCCTCTTTCACTACTTTGCTAACGGCAGATGACTCCCCCTCCCCTATTTTTCCTGCTCACATGAAGGGCCAGCAGCTGTTCGTGGTGTTTTGTGGCTCCTGACAATGCTGCAGGGGCTTTGGCTTGCTCCTGCCTAGAGGCAGGTGCAGGCCCAGGCAGGGGCACCAGTGGGGTTGGGAAACACCTGGAGATCTAGGGGGTGAAGCCTGGGGAGAGGAGGGACGTCAGTGGGGTACGATGCCCTAGATTCCACCTCCCAAAGTGGCCATTTTCTCCAGGTGAACTGATCTCTGCTGCCTGGAGACCACTTGTCATCCCAGGAGATCTCCAGCCACCGCCTTGAGGTTAGCAACCCTAGGTTCCAGTCCCCTCCCCTGCCTGCCACTGAGAGCGAGCTGTGCCCCTGTGGGGCATCTAACACCCTCCTCTCAGTGCTGCCCCAAGAAGTCATTGGGGTTGCTTGGCTAGAGAAACTGGCCCTAGGAATGGAGTACGTTATATAGGGTGGGGAGATGCATCTACATCACATGACCCTGCTGGAACAGACCAAAGGTCCATTTAGGCCACAGTCGTATTTCCAGCAAGATGCCTTTGGGATATCCACCTGCAGAGCCCTCCTGCGTTTGCATGCAGAGCCTAATTCTTTGAGTCATGTATCTCTGGAACGAGAGGCCTCACTTGGGTTGCTCCTCCATCAATATTTCTTGAAAAGGTGTCAAAACCAGTGGCCAGCAGCCCTAGGCATTAGACAATGTTATGAAAATTGGGATGGGAAGGGGAGATCTTTCCTGCCCCAGATGGTGCTGTTCATTCCTAATCAACCTTGTCATAGTTTAATAGACTCGCTGTGCTTCAAATTGCAATAAAGTCACCACCGCGTAGGATTAAGCTGAGAGCAGGTTTATTTTTTTACAGGCGCAGCTCCATCCGTCTTTCCAAGCACAAAGGGGGCAGACCGAGGTGTCTTACAAGCAGCGGAGCTACAAAAGGCAGAATGCTCTGCTCTCCGTTTGGCTCAGGATTTCCTTACTTGCAGGAGATCGCAGCGGGAGGTGGTCTCAGCAGCACACCAACTTCACCCGACCTTGGAGAATGGCGTGAAAAGTAACACCTGGGCAGAGGGGTCTTTTGTTTGCCCTCAGAAGGTGCAGTTAATTTCCCCAAAACGCCGACATTTCATGACTTTCAGGTAGGTCTCCACTTTGTGCAAGTCCTTCTTGAAGCAGGACAGGAGACCATAGTTCTTCATCAGAGAGGCTTCGTTCTGGGGGCTGGCATCAAACTTGTCATAGCTGTGCATGAGGAGATGAAGGCCCCGGGAGTTTCCATCCCCCAACTCCTGTGGGAAAATGCTTTTATAAGTTGGGAAGGCCCGGAAACTAAATTTTGCAAAACATCAATAATATGGCGGATTTTGCCAAGCCCTGTGTCATGATCTGTGTAGGCCTCTGAAGATCTGTGCAGGACTAGGCCTAGTGAGGCCTAAGAGACCTGCCTGGGAGTGGGAATAGGGCTGCCAAGTGGGGGCGGGGTGGGTGGGTAAACCCCCGCTTTGGAGGCCCGATTTCCGCCACTGCGAAATTGGGCCCTGGGGGGAACTCTCTGATGATCGGGGCTACGCCTTCAATGTGATTGACATCGCGCGTCACTTCCAGTGATGTGTTGCCGGCACGTACGCGCTTTGCGTGCGCATCAACAGAGAGCTCCCGGAGCCCAGCGAGGCTCCCCCGCCAGTAGGAAAAATCTACTTGGCAACCCTAAGTGGGAAGCAGACAGCCTACAATCCCCACAAGGCTTTGCACCAGCGGTAACTAATGGGGGTCCAGGAATTCTCTGAGGAGATTGTTTATATACTTGGTGGTCAGTTAAACTGGGTTCTTTTCCTCTCTGTGGTTTGCCTCTCACAGAGCTAAGCTGAGGAGACTTGTCTGGGAGAAAAATCCCTCACTGGGGACAGTGAGTACAAGCAGAGAGAAGCCTGGCTTAAGAGAGCTGTAGGGCTTGAGTAGTAACAGAAGGAGTATTAGGTAGCTGCGTTAGCTTTGTGTTTGTGCAGAGGCAGGCAATGGCAAAGCATCTCTGAATGTCTCTTGCCTTGAAAAATCTACAGAGTTGCCATAAGTCAGCTGTGTGTTGATGGCACTTTCCACCACAGGAAAGAAGGAGGAAGGAATAGGGTAGAGTTTATAGGGATTTTCAG